TGACCCAGAGCACGATCCGGGCTGGGCTGAGCGAGGCTCGGGGATGGTGCCAGCTCCATCCCCACAGCGGCACCCCCGGGCTGAGCCCGAGCCCTGCGGGGCTCCAGCCTCCCCTCCGAGGGATGAGCTCCCCCAGGACCCCGGGGAGAAGGTGACCGCGGCTCTCAATCGCTCCCCGCAGTCCGTGGTCACGCTGGATGGAGGCAAACTCGTCCACGTGCAGAAGTGGGAGGGGAAGGAGACATCGCTGGTCCGGGAGCTGAAGGACGGGAAGTTAATTCTGGTAAGGAAATGGTTTTATTCTGGTAAGGAAATGGTTTTATTCTGAGATTCGCACCTCGGAAATTGCTCCAAGGGGGAAGAGCTCGGCTCTCGGCGAGGCAGCGCTAACCCCCGGCACCCCTCTGCCCCCAGACTCTCACCATGGGCAACGTGGTCTCCACCCGCACCTACGAGAAGGCGACATAGGCGCTGTCCCAGGTCCCCTGGCTGTCACCCGGTGTCACATCGTCCCCGCCTGGCCCCGTGCCTGGCCCCGTGGGCTCGGAGCCGCTGCCCCGCCGGGGCCGCCCCTGCCCCAGCCCTGCCCGGCTCCAGGGGCTCGGGTGGTGGTTTCGTGCTTTGTTGGTGGGTTCTTTTTTAACTGATCGTGGGAAAAGTCACATGGAAAAAAACAATAAAGGTGTTGTTACAGCTCTGGGCTCGGCTTGCTGGGGAAAAGGGGGTCCTGGCAGGTGGGCAGCCACAGCGCTGGCAGGGAAAGGGTTAACGGGCGGTGATCCCAGTGGCCCGGCTCGGTGTCCTCTCCAAGCTGCGGGATCAGCTCCGGCTGGCAATGTTCGGGATCCGGGATCAGGCAGAGCTCACCTGGAACGGGGGCCCGAGCTCTGGGAAGGGAAACGGCCCCAAGGGGAGCGGCAGCCCGGGGGGCAGAGGGAAGGGACAGGGATGAAGGGTGGCTCCATCAGCAGCCCCAAATCCCGCAAAGCCAGCAGCTGCAGTCCCTCCCTGCAGAGCCCGCAGGACACGCTCCTGCCCCGCTCACATCTGACCCGGCTGCTCCTGGCACGCTCCCCTGCCACCCCTTCCCCTGACCTTCAGCTCCACTTACGGGATCTGTGCTCACTCCAGAGGGCTTCTCCTACGGGCTACCTCAGCACACACCCCCTTCCCACCCACAGGGAACCTGGGGAAGGAGCCAGAACTTCCCAAAAAAACCCTTTCCCATCTCCCCCGCGCGGCCAGCGCTGCTCTTCCCCTGCCCAAGATGAAGTGTAGAGGAGCCAGAAGAAAGGAGCCTGGTACAAAGTACAGCTGCAGAGGGCAGAGATTTATTTTCCATCCCTTTCCACGGCAGCAAACACTCCACAGTTCATGTTTACTCCCAGTATCTCCACTCCCCCGTTTGCTCCTTGCTCCTCCGCTCCCAGGGCTGGCAGAGACCGAGGGAGCCGGGGCAGGTTTGGAACCCCCAGCTCTGTGCCAGGGTCCCACCAAAGCCCGTCCCCAGCGCTGTGGGGGCCTGGCTGTGCCACCCCAAGCTCTGCAGGGCTGGCACCGAGCTGGCAGCAGCTCCAGCAGGACACAGCAGGGCCCTGCAGGCTGTCATGGGGCTGTGCTGGCACCAAGGTCAACACTCATAACACACACACACACACCTGAGCTGCTCCAGAAGGAAACTCCATCCCTGCAGTGCTGATCCCTGCTGGCTGTGCCAGGGAATGGCCGTGGCAGCAGCCCAGCCTGCCCAGCTCATCCCAGGGCTACTTCTTGTGCTTCTTCTTCTTCTTCTTCTTGGCCTTGCTGGCTTTCCCGGAGCGCTTGGGTCTCTTGCTGGAGGGCTCGGCTCCGGCGCTGCCCGAGGCCGAGCTGTCCGAGTCCGACCCCGAGGATTGCTTGGCCTTGTGCTTCTTCTTCTTCCTCTTCTCCTAGGAAGAGCCTGGCAATGTGGGAATGCTCTCCCCGCTGCCCTGCAGGGCAGCACGGGCACCGTGCCCCAGGAGCTCCCCAGCACCGCCAGCCCCCGGCTGCAGGGCCCCGAGCTCGGCAGAAACCACAGCACAGGGGCAGCAGCACGGAAATCCCAGGCTGGGAAACTCTGGATAACTCAAAGGAGAGCTCGTGCCCTCCATTATTTCATTGCTCTTTGTTAAGTTGGGAGGATGAGGCTTGTTTTTTGCCTAACAAATGGGTTTCTAAAGCTGCCATGAGCAGCATCCCTGCAGCCCCAGCCTGCCAGGACGGGAGCATCCAAACACTCCTGCTCCATGCAGGAGAGCCCAGCAGAGCTCAGTGCCCTCCTGAAGATGTGGCACGACCTCCCTGAAGATCTCACCAGTGCCCAGACTGGATGGGATGTCCAAGCACCAGGCCCAGGGGCCAGCTGGGCTAAAAGGAAAGGAGCTGGCAGCTCGTTTTTAATCAAACAGGACATTTTTAGGGAGCTGGAAGAGCAAAGAGAACACTCAGAGCATCAGGCAGGACCCTCTGGGATTGCAGGGGAGGGAGCAGAGGATGGAGCTGCTCCACACCCACCAGGCTCTTGGCACTTTTTAGTTCCACAACAGCAAATGATGTCACCCCAAACCGAGTCTGTTTTCCTGTGGGTTACAACAGACTCACCACAAAATCCCTGAGCCACAGAGGAAAGGCAGAAGCAAATCCTTCCAGTCCTAAGAGGACGGGAAGGAGTTAAACCCTCCAGAAAAGGGGATGCAGCAAGGAGAATGTTCTCAAGCTTTTCCAGCCCGTGCACGTGGTGAGAAAGCTTGAGAACCACCCAGAGTTTCATCCCAGAGCTTGGGAAACTTTCTCAGGATGTGAGGGCTGAAGGCAGGACAGGATGTCACACGCGCTCCTGGGGATGGAACGGGGACACGAAAGCACACGTGGGCATTGTGCTGGCTGGAAAAAATCAACAAAGCCTCACTCTCCCCTTCTGGGGGCTTCCAACAGCCAAGGTCACTCCAAGAGAGACAAATTCCTTTTGTGGCACACAGTGGGGCTCTTGGGGTGTCCTGTGCAGGGCCAGGAGCTGAACAAGTGATCCCTGTGTGTGTCTTTTCCAGCCCTGGATATTCCATGATTCTCTGATCCTTCCAGGGCACAGCAAATCAGCACAGCCTGGGCTGGAAGTGCAGCAGGAAACAGGGAGAGCTGAGCATTCCCAGAAAAAATGTGGCTGCTCCATCCCTGGAAGGTGTCCCTGGCACTGGATGGGATTTAAGGTCCTTCCCACCCAGCCCATCCCAGGATTTGGTGATTTTTGGTAGCAGGAGGCAGCGGTGCTGCAAAATCTCCTGCTCCAGACCGCAGCTTTCCCCAGATCCCAGCCCTGGAGATCAGCGGGTCTCAGGGAGCTGAGGGAGTGCCCAGGTCTGTGCCTGCAGCTGGATGGGGCTCAGCTCGGCTCTGGGCACACCCAGCACTCCAAACACTGCATTTTGGGGGAGGATTTGGAGAGGATTTGGCCCCAGCAGCTCTCTCAGCGCAGAGGGCTCAAAGCACAGAGCTGCACTTCACGGTTCCCTGCACATCCTGCCCCACCTCTGCGATTACCACACCAGAACCCAACAAAAGTGTTCCAAAAACTCCCTCCAAGCCCTGCTGGAGCTGCCAGCAGGCTGGGCTGGAGCCTGAGTGTTGGTTTTCACGGAATTCCTTCCCCACTGCTCCAAAACTCCTCCAAGAGGGGCCCCTCAGCACTCCAGGCTCCCTCCTGCCCTTGGTGAGGAAACAGCTCCAGGCTGCTACAACAGCTCGTTCCTCCCACAGGTATTTGGGGTTGAGATAAGAGGGGAGTGCCCAGAGCACTCCAAGAAACTGAAATATTTCTCACCAGACCCTTCTGAGTTGTGATCCCATTCCAAGACTTTGTGTCTTGTCCTTGTGGAAAACCCAGACGGATTTCTGATGTCTGTCTGCCTCCCCAGGGCTGTGCCAGGAATCCTTCTAGATTTTATTATTAATCCCTCAGGGTTTTATTCTTTATCCTCATTCCACCACCCAATTTCATTCCAAACAAGATTCATTACATCAGTCTGAAGGTGTTTTTGCATCCCCTGTTGGAGGAGCAGTCAGAATGAAGCTGAGGAGAAGAACTCAGCCTAAAGCCAGTAAATAGGCAGTCAAGCTCTGGAAAATTTGGATTAAAATAATGTGTGAAGGGCTGTGCCCTCTTAATGCCATGGAAGAACCAGTAAAACCAGTAAAACTGAGGATGGACCGAGGCTGGATGAGCCACAGGTCACAGAACAAACACATTTAGGTGTGGTTTTCACACTGCAGGAAGATCTGGAAATCTTCCACAAGGGGAGGAAAAGAGCAGCAGAGTCCTAAAAAAGCCCCAATCCCAAAGGCCATCCAAAACCACCTCAGGGGTGAGCTGTTCCATGCGGAATAAAACTCGTAAGGAACTTGGAAATGGATGTAAACCCCCCAGTTTGAGGTTGTGTGAGCAGAAGTTGGGATGAACCGGGAGGATTTCAATCCCTCGGTCAGCACTGCAGGTTTTTTCTTGGCAGACAAGGGCAGCAGGAGGATGAGAAAGGCTCAGCCATTCCCAGCCTCCCACACAGTCCCTGCAGGGACATCAACCTCCCCCAGAGCAGCAGGAGCTCCCTCACCCCGTGACCCCCGGAGGAAAAGGGACACCGAGCCTGGGGCAGCCCAGCTGTCCCACACAGCCTCATGGAATCCTGGAATTGTTCAGGCTGGAAAAGCCCTCCGAGATCAGCCGCTCCAAGCACGGCCCCAGGTGCCACATCCACGTCCTTCACCAGGGACAGGGACTCCACCCCTGCCAGCACAGTTTTACCAACCCTTTCTGTGAAGGATTTTTCCCAAGTATCCAACCTAAACCTCCCTCAGCACAACCTGAGGCTGTTTCATGGCATCCCTCACTCCCTGGGAGCAGCCTCCTGCCAGGCCCCCCTGAGCCCCTTCCCAGCTCCCCAGGAACTCTCCAGCCCCTTCCCAGCTCCCTCAGGAATTCTCCAGCCCCTTCCCAGCTCCCTCAGGAATTCTCCAGCCCCTTCCCAGCTCCCTCAGCAATTCTCCAGCCCCTTTCCCAGTTCTCTCAGGGATTCTCCAGCCCCTTTCCCAGTTCTCTCAGGAATTCCCCAGCCCCATTCCCTCCCCTGGACACGCTCCAGCCTCTCCCCTTCTCCCATCTCCCGTTTTCTCAGGGATTGCAGGGCCAGGGCTCAGTGCTGCCACCCGAAGATGTCACTGTCACACCACAGACCTGGCTCCAGCTCCAGCCTGGAAATGCTGAGAGGCTCAGGCAGGAGGGAAAACAGGCACGGGGAACCTGGCAAGGTGGGGAAAAACAGGGTGAAGATCCTGGAGTGTCACAAGAGAGGAAATCTCTGGGAAAAGGAGAAAAACCCCAGAAACTGTGAGGAAACGTGGGATCCAGGAAAGCACAAAACGCTGGCCCTGAACAAGCACAGATGTTAATTCTACTGCTCAGTGGAGCTGTCTCTCTGAAACAGCCCAGCCCCACACTGGTGTCACACACATGGCACAGGCCAGCAAGGAGATTGTCCCTGAATCCATGGAGTTATCTGTAAATCCCCAGAGCTCCAGGGAAGCACGTGGTGGCTCCCAGACAAGATCACAGCAGGCGCTACAAGGGAACCATTCATCTCCAGGATCCCACATCCTGCTTCCAAAAAAGCTCCCAGTTTTATTATTCCAGCTCTGGAAAGCATCTGAAAACTTTTGATGTCACCCTTGAGAAGGGAGGGAGATCAAAGGAACAAGTGGGATTTCAAGGAAAGTTATTAATCCACCAACCCCCAAAAAAATCAGGAAGAAATTCAGGACAGAGACCGACATTTCCTGCAGGAAATCTTGCAGGGCAAGACTCCACTGGGAATCCCCATCCTGGTGGATGGGCAGGGGTAGGACGAGCTGTTTGTGCTATTTCTGCACTTCTTTGTGTCATTTTTCCCCAAAACATTTCAATAACTGGAGCCCTTTCTGCCTGTTGCCACTCTCCAGGGATACAGAGTGGCCACAGAGCTGGAAAGAGGGGAAAGTACAGAGAAAGGGCTTTGGAAGTGTAATTAGAAGTGGGACTATGAAGAGGCTGATGGAAGAGTTTATTTATGGAAGTCTTGAGCTGGATTGTGGCTGTCCCTGGATGAGTCCCAAGCCAGGCTGGAGCAGTGTGGGAGGTGTCCCTGCTGATGGCAGGGGTGGGATGGGATTTAAGGTCCCTTCCACCCTCTGGGATTCTGTGAACACTCATCCCTGAAAAAACCTGACCACCAAAAGCTCCTGGCTTGGGTTGAAGCTTCACCTGTGTTTTATTTTATCCCATCCTGCTGCGAGGCTGAGGTCAAACTCTGCCTGGAAAATGTCTCTGATCTGATTTCACAGGGACAGCGACTGCTCTGGAGCCTGGGAATGCTCCCTGTGCAAACACAGCCAGGGATTTTCCCCCAGAGGGTGCAGATAAACCCAATTCCCACAGCTCTGGCAGGGTCAGGACACCCCTGCAGCCAGCAGGGCACCGAGTCCAGATCAGAGAAAGGTGCGAGGGCAGGAGAAAGGAAAACAGATCCCTGGCAACAATCCCAGGGGTTCAGGCCACTGAAGCAATGCCCACAGAGCCTCCCAAAGAGCAGGAAAAGCAATTGCCATCTTTTTCTCACTCTAAGAGTATCTCTAGAGGAATGTGTGCTGCAGCACAAAGCCAGCTTGGCAATGGAAGGGAAAAGCCAGGAATTGGTGAGAGATCTGCAGAGGAGGCTCCTGTTTTGCTCCAGAACCTGCCCAAACCTGAGCCCCTTCTCAGCCCACAGCTGGCTCCTCACGGCCTCCTCGCTGGAGTAACTCAGGAGTAACTACAGAGCAAACTCCCACCCCCATTTCCTTTTCCAGGCCACCTCGTACCTTTCTCCTCTTTTTTGCAGCTTCCTCAGCCTGGCTGATCTTCCCATCCCCTCCACGTGCTGCTGCTGCCCCCTCCTCTTCCTCCTCCTCCTCTGGAATGAGGCTGTACTTGGTTCCTCCAGGCTGCACAAAGCACTCCTTGGCAAAATGACCTGGAGAAAAGGTGGTGGAAGGAATAACACAGCCTCTTTTCCTTCTTTTTATTTTTTTTTTAATAAATGCTTTTTAAAAAATTATTTTTCATAAATTATTTTTAATATTTTGATAAATTATCTTTAATAAATTATTTTTAATAAATTTTTAATATATGTTTTTAATATTTTTTAAATAATTTTATTTTTTAATAATTTTTTTAATATTTTAATAAATTCTTTTTTTAAAATAAGTTTTTTAATAAATTCTTTTTAGTAAATTTTTTTTTAATAAATTCTTTTTTTAATAAATTCTTTAATAAATTCTTTTTAATAAATCCTTTTTTAATAAATTCTTTTTTAAAATAAATTCCTTTTTTAATTTTTTAATAATTTTTTTAATAAATTATTTTTAATAATTTTTAATACATTATTCTTTTAATAATTTTTTAATAAATCCTTTCTTAAATAAATTCTTTTTAAAAAATTCTTTTTAGTAAATTTTTTTTAATAAATCCTTTTTTTAATAAATTCTTTTTTTAAAATAAATTCTTTTTTTAAAATAAATTCTTTTTTTAATAAATTCTTTTTTTAATAAATTCTTTTTTTAATATTTTTTAATAAACTCTTATTAATAAATTCTTTTTTTAACAAATTCTTTTGAATAAATTCTTTTTTAATAAATTCTTTTTTTAATAAATTCTTTTTAATATTTTTTAATAAACTCTTATTAATAAATTCTTTTTTTAACAAATTCTTTTGAATAAATTCTTTTTTAATAAATTCTTTTTTTAATAAATTCTTTTTAATATTTTTTAATAAACTCTTATTAATAAATTCTTTTTTTAACAAATTCTTTTGAATAAATTCTTTTTTTTTAATAAATTCTTTTTTTTTTTTTAAATAAATACATCTGGCACACCTGAAGTGCTGCTGGGGCTCTTTTGATTATGAGCCACAAGGAAGACAATCCACACTGGACGTTTTTTTACCCTGAAATTTGAACGTGCCCTGATGAAACAGGACAGGGAACACAACCCAGGTCATTCTGGAGTGATCAGTCAGGCAAGAAATAAAACATCCTCATCTCAACACATAAAAATCTGTCTCTGCAGGAGCTGGATCAGCCCAGAAAAGAGTGGGGGAAAGGTAAATGGGTGTGACTGGCACCTGGAAAATGAGTGAAGGCACAAGGAGAGGGAAATTCAGCTCTGCTGGTTCTACCCTTTCTACTCTGGAGACATCAAAGCTGACCTACTCAGAGCTGCAGTGGGAATCTGGAGAGCTGGCACCTGCTGTTACAGGAGACACCATTGTTAAAAAGCAGAAAATAGAAAACAGGCATAACCCTGGTTCTGGGGTTCTTTAAAATAGTGGTTTATATATAATAGTTCTTTAAATAGCAATAATTCTTTAAAATGGTATTTTAAGGATATTCCTGTGCCACGGGAGAGCCCACACTCATCATTAACCTCCTCCAGAACAGCACGAGCCCCATTAAACATTTCCTCCAAATAACACAGCAAAAACTCCTGCACAAAAAAAAAAACCTACTTTGTGCCTCAGCTGATGCCTGAGGTTTAACTTCTGTATTTCCCAGATTCTGATTTATTTATTTTTTCTGGTATTTCCAGACACTGCATTGGTGCATAACTCTGGAGAGCTTTTTAATAAAATTTAATTTAATAAATCCCTACTTGACTCCTTTAGCTCTGCCCAGCCTGTGCTGCAGGGAGCATCTCCAGGTATAAATAAATCTACTGAAAGGCACCACAGAATCGTTTTCCCATTGCTGAGCCTGGAAGAACATCATTTCAGCACATCACCAACTTCATCTGAGCTGCAAATTAATTAAATTTAATTGAACTTTATTTGTCCAGCTGAGCTGGAGCTGATGGACACTCAGCTCTGGCTGCTCCTGCAACTCTTTTAATCTGTTTTTCTCTCACTGATTCTGCTGCCCTTCTTCCCTCTCCTGGATTTCTCTGAGCTCCTTTGGACAGTTCCTCACGGGGAGTCTCAGTTCTCTGGCTCTGATGAAAACTCCAAAGCTCGTTAGGATCTTGTTCCTTGGGTTAATTAGGACGTTATCACAAAGACTGGAGGGTTTGCCAGACTTTTTACACAAGTTTAAATCAATAAAACCTGGCACACTTTGGGTTCTGATGGCACCAAATAGATGTAATGTTATGTTAATGTTATGTTAATGTTATGTTAATGTTATGTTAATGTTATGTTAATGTTATGTTAATGTTATGTTAATGTTATGTTAATGTTATGTTAATGTTATGTTAATGTTATGTTAATGTTATGTTACGTGCTATATATTATATATCACATTATATATTATTTTATATCATATAATATAATATAATAAAAATTACATTATAATATATTACTTATTATATATTATGTTATATATTTTATGTTACATCTTATAAATTTTATATTATATTACATTATATATTATCTATTATTACATATTTATTAAACATATATTATATGCTACACATTATATGTTACATATTATACATTACATATTATATATATTATATATTGCATTACATTATATATTATATTATAAAAATACATCTATTTATACCCTATTAACTATAGACACCTCTATTGTTTTTATACATTAACAAATAAGTTTTCTCTATCTGCTTAAATAACTAAAACTGTGACTTTGAACCAATCACTCTTTGTGCTCCTAAAATTTGCAGGATCATGGAGGAGAAGGGAGAAGGAGAGCTAAAAACCACACTTCTTTTTCCTCAATCTTTACTCCATGTATTAAACACTCTAAAATCCATATTTTTTATTTCAGTGGCAGACTAAACATTCTGCTGCTTCCTACCTGATTTTTAATAAATCCTGGCTCACCCAGGGATATTTGGGAAGCTTTTATGTCAGTGACAAATGGGATTAATGCATTTTTGGAGAACAGGACCAGGAGAGAAATTCTCCATCTCTGGACCCCTGGCAGTGCCCAAGGCCAGGCTGGATGCTGGAATTTGTCCCTGGGGGTTGGAATCAGCTGGGATTTACGCTCCTTTCCAACCCAAACCGTTCTGGGATTGCAGCCATGAGGCAAACACTGCTTCAGCCCCTCCAGGGTCCCTGCCTGGCAGGGACACAGCCCCACACCCACCTTTGCAGCCACATTTCTTGCACACCGTGTTCAGGACGGCCTCCAGGGTGATCTTCTGGCTGGTGTAATCCCTGAAGGTGCGTCTCTTCCTCTCATCCTGCCTGGGAGGACAACAACAGCTCACCTTCAATCCCTCATTTTCTCATTCTCACCTTCAATCCCTCATTTTCTCATTCTCACCTTCAATCCCTCATTTTCTCATTCTCACCTTCAATCCCTCATTTTCTCATTCTCACCTTCAATCCCTCATTTTCTCATTCTCACCTTCAATCCCTCATTTTCTCATTCTCACCTTCAATCCCTCATTTTCTCATTCTCACCTTCAATCCCTCATTTTCTCATTCTCACCTTCAATCCCTCATTTTTCTCATTCTCACCTTTAATCCCTCATTTTCTCATTCTCACCTTTAATCCCTCATTTTCTCATTCTCACCTTTAATCCCTCATTCTCACCTTCAATCCCTCATTTTCTCATTCTCACCTTCAATCCCTCATTTTTCTCATTCTCACCTTCAATCCCTCATTTTTCTCATTCTCACCTTCAATCCCTCATTTTCTCATTCTCACCTTCAATCCCTCATTTTCTCATTCTCAGCTTTAATCCCTCATTTTCTCATTTTCACCTTTAATCCCTCATTCTCACCTTCAATCCCTCATTTTCTCATTCTCACCTTCAATCCCTCATTTTCTCATTCTCACCTTCAATCCCTCATTTTTCTCATTCTCACCTTTAATCCCTCATTTTTCTCATTCTCACCTTTAATCCCTCATTTTTCTCATTCTCACCTTTAATCCCTCATTTTTCTCATTCTCACCTTCAATCCCTCATTTTCCTACAAACACACCTGACCACGAGGATTTTAAAGGTTGCTCTCCAGGTAAAACTTTCTAAAATCAAAGAGCAGAGCTGGCCTTGGGCACTGCCAGGGATCCAGGGGCAATTCCAGCCCCTCCCCACGCTCCCAGGGAACAATTCCTGCCCAAAATCCCAAAATCCCACCCATCCCTGCTCTGCTCAGATTTACCCACTCAAGGGAAACGTTGTTGGGATCCAGGTCCTTCCCCGTGCCTTGGTGAACAACCTTCATGGAGAGGGAGAGCTTCAGCTTCTCATCCTTCACCTGCAAAACACGGAATTAGCGGGACTAACGACCCCAGTGCTAATTAACACACGGGACATTTGACTGGAATTGGGGTCACCTCCTTCCCAATGAGCTTCACCCAGACTTTGTCCCCGACATCGACCATCTCGGAGGGTTTGTCCACACGGCAGGAGGACATGTGGCTCCTGTGGACAAGGCCTGGGGATGGGAGAGACACAAAAACAATCCTCAGATTTGCCTCCCAGGACAGCAAAACTCCCAAACTGGGCACAGAAAATCCATTGGGGTGTGGGAACAATGTGTTTTTACACCATTAATAAATTAAATTTTAAAGTTGATAGTGTTTATTTCCTTAGTTCATCCTCTTTTTCAGTTCTGTATGGACAATTCTGCACTGAGACTCAAATTTCCAGTTCCCAAATTGGGTGCAGAAAATCCCTTGGGGTTTTATTTAATTATTTATTTATTTATTAATAAATTAAATTTAAAAATTAAAAATATCAGTTTTGTTTTAATCTTTTTTCTCCCCACTCATTGACACTGACCATTAAAAGCAGGAAATTGGGCAAACCACCTAACTGCAGATTAAACAGTCTGCCATTATCTTCAAATAATTCTCTGAATCAAAAACCTCCATTAAAATATTCTGAAGTTAGCAAAACCCCAAAATATCCAGAATTTACAAAAAAAAAACAGCCCCAAGATATCCTGAGGAAACCAAAACCCCAAAATATCCAGAATTTACAAAAAAAACACCCCCAAGACACCCTGAAGTTACCAAAAATCCCTCTGATTCTTTTCTGGCAATCACACAAAACTCCATCAACTTCAAAATGCTTCCCAAGAAGTCCAAATTTCTTCCTAATTTAGGAAAAATTCCTTTCCTGAGCTTTTGCTACAAGCCTTTAACCCTGAGGGGGCTGGTTGCCTCAGACACAGCAACGAGAAACAACGGCAGAGACACAAACCTTGCTTCCTGCAGCCTGGGATTTTGATAAATGCCCCAAAATCTGTCACTGCAGCAACCTGGGGAAAAAAAGCACACGAGAGCTGAAGCTTTTCCCAGGGGAGAAGCTGCACAATGAACCTGCACAGCTCACCTGAGCTGGGATCAGCAGAGGATCAGGGAATGCTTGGGTTTGGAGGGATCTTAAAGCTCCTTTTCTGCCCCCTCTGCCACCCCAGGGACAATTCCAGTGTCCCAAACCCACCCAGCCTGGCCTTGGGCACTGCCAGGGATCCAGGGACAGCCCCAGCTGCTCTGGCAATTCCAGCCCAGCCCCTCCCCACCCTCCCAGGGAACAATTCCTGCCCAAGATCCCACCCCAATCTCCCCTTTTCCAATCTCAAGCCATTCCCTGGGTCCTGTCCCTGCAGGCCTTGTCCCCAGTCCCTCTCCAGCTCTCCTGGAGCCCCCGCAGGCCCTGGAGGGGGCTCTGAGCTCTCCCTGGAGCTTCTCCTCTCCAGCTGAGCACCCCCAGCTCTCCCAGCCTGGCTCCAGAGGGGCTCCAGCCCTGGAGCAGTTCCAGGGGCTCCTCTGGGCTCTCTCCAGCTGCTGCTGATGTTGGAATTCTGTTGGAATTCCCAGCTCTGCAGGCGGGAATCACCTGAGTGGGGCAGAGGGACTGAACTCCCCCCTTTTCCTGCTGCCCCCGCTCTGTGGCTGTGCATGAACACAGCCAGAGGTGTGCA